CGGTCTGGTCCGTCCACAGTTTTAAGGACCGGTTTTCAGGACCGCGGACGGACCGGACTGGACTTACACATCCCTAGGTATGACTGTATAGTACAAAAGTAATAAACATCAAATGTTATTATATTATCAGCATGTCTTTTTGAGTAGATGTTATAATAGTGAGAACTATCAGATTATTTATCTATAATAATATTATTATTTATTAAAATTAATACAATTAAAGATCTTATAATAATATTTTGAAAATTATACTTATTTGTTTTGATACAAATGCTGATTTTTGCTTTTTTTTATGCTTTGTTACAGTTTCACATCTAATACTGATACCTGCAGAAGCTGATACATCTATACTATCTAATATATAGGAGCTTATCAATAAAAAAGAAGAAAATCTAAATAAAATTAAAATTTTACTTTATATACTAAATATGATTTTAAGTTCAGATTTAACATTAACTCATAAAACTTTTTTTTTAGATTTCCTCTCTTTCTATTGACAAGCTCCCATATATCTAATATCTGCCTTGATTTTATTAATAAACTTATTATTTAAACCCATTAAAAAATAACAAAATATAATTAAACGCTATTTTTTTTTAGTATTTGTCATATTATTTTTGTTAGATGAATTAGTTTCAACATAAAGCTGATCAAAAAAATTTGCCAATAATAATTCTGCATTTTTTAACATATAGAAGGTAGTCAGTAGAAAAGGGAAAAATCCAAATTTTGATAAATTTATATTAATGGACTACTTGGTTGATCTTGATCATGTGTATAAATTTAGCTTAATAATAAAAATTAACAAAAATTTTGGATTTTTTCCTTTTCTACTAACCACCTCCCATATTCTTAAATTCATTGGGATTTAAAATAAGTTTCTGATTTTCTTTCTTTGTTTAGCATATAATGAACTAGCCATCAAACGGATCTTTTCGTCTAAAGGAATAGATTCTAAAAAATAATAATATTAGCATTTTCTTTAGGACACTATTTCACATTTATATGATACAAAAATATATAATATATCTAATTTTGCCTCTTTTAATTCTTTACATATCTTATGATATACCTTTTCTAGTTCTTCATATTGAATTGCAGTATATAAAACATCGCTTTTGAATGCGTATGTTCTATTATAAATTTTATCAAAGATTCTTCTAAAGTGATCTTGCTATTCGAATAAGAATAGTTCTGATATATCCTGTAAATATTACTAGCATATTTGCAATGATTACAAAGTATGACATTAGTTGAAAGATTAAATTATTCAATTAAATAACTAGGTGCTTTATCTAATTTTGTATCCTTTGATGCAGATACTAAATACTCCCTACATTTAGGATGTGCGCACCCTCTTCTTTTATCATCTTTTTGAGCTTAATAACCAATTTTAGTAAGATTTACACAGAATAACTAAAATAGCTCTCATCTAACTTTCGAATTACCCTGTCATTTTTCAAATTACTAGGTTAAACAGAACGAAATCTTATCAATAATATATGCGAAATATTTTCTCTTAATCAGAAAATAATCCAAAGTCAGATGATAAGAATTTTGATAGACAATATGTATTTGAGCGATCATCTAATCAAATTGAAGCCCGCTATATTTGTTGAGGTGTAACAGAATCACATGACTGTGGCGCAGTCAATACTAAAAATTTTTGTGACCTCACTTCTAGTCAGATCTGAAAAACTGGATACAGTGAAGGACTTGACACAACGAATCTTATCTTTCCCTATTACGCTAAAATGTCGTAAATTTTTCTGGCCGTATCTACCCTCCTGCATACCACAGACCTGTCCACATAATCTAGAAGCTTTTCCTTAACTTCGTTGTTCAGCTTCGTATGTGCCGATTGTGGCGGAGTGTCCCAGACTAATGAATAGAATCTGATTCCTGTTTTTTTTTCACCTAGGTAGACTTGAGTCATGATACAGAACAATACGCTGTCACATTTATTACACACTGATCCCAGCTAGAAATGTGTAGTTTTCGCACATTTATCAAGAAATTTATTAATTTTTGCCTGAGTATTACAATGTGTAATAAAATATGTATTACATATCAGTTAGGATTGTGCTATTGCTTCTCTGACTTATAAATTACTTAGTTAATGAACTTGTGAAAAGAATGTTCTCAATATAACCTTACAGAAAAAAATATGATTCTAACTTATTATCGGTTTCCCAACAATTGTAATTTTAACAGGTTCTGGAGGGGTAATCTGCAATAATCAGAACGAGATTGACTTGGTGACGTGTTTGAGGTAATTATCTTCAAAACATTGGAAACAGAATCCTTTAAAATTACAAAGAGAGTGAGTCACATCTGCATTGAGATAATAAACAGATATTTTTGAAATCCGTTAATAATTACTTACTTTGACAGTGTAAAGTGCTTCCAATAGCGACACTAGACTTATGAATTGGGATTTCTGAGTGGGTATAGCTACGTCTGTGCTCCTATAAATGCAACTGAGTATTAGCAAATGTATAAGAATTTTAATATTCAAACCAAATATGAGCACTTACCATAAATCCACACCCCAAAGGATGCTATCCCGATCCTATTTCCATATTTTTTTGATTAGGTCATCCAAAGTATCAGATTGAAAATCCGCAAGTTTGATAAGATCCTGACAGGCTAATAAAGATGAGTTTTTATATTTTGGTGGTTTGACCTCACCAAAGAGAATCTCATCATTCGTACTTTTCAAGAGTTTAAAGTCAGGCTTCTTACCTCGCGAATTTTCTTTACTAATACAACGTCGGCTTTTTGAGGAAGTGCTCTCGCTATTTACCCTTTATTTAAGCTAGGCATTAAATTTTATGATTCAACTACAAAGCAAGATCAGGCAAACCCTTACCAGAACAACTCAAAATTTGGATCGCGAAAGATTTCCTTCAGTAAATCGTGTAATATATCATGAACGAATGTATCTTCGTTATCATTATTTGTTTGGAAGCTCTGAAGTAAACTGTAAGAAAGATCAATTCGGTATTACATTGATTATTATAGTTTAATACCTACTAGTTACGTAAGATAACTTGACTTTCACAAAATATTTCCTTTTCATTATGATTGTTCAACTCATTAACTTTCGAAAAATTTATACACCAAATTTTCAGAATATCTTCCAGTGGTGTGAATGCATTCAATAGCTAGAATTTGGAAAAGAAACCTTGGATTAACTTACAAAGCAATATTGTAACCAAATCTGAAAAAATATATACTTTTGAATATTCGAGAATCATGTTTTGGATCACCACTGCCAGACTTGGAGGAACTTGTCTTTGACATATTTGATTCTAAACTGTTTTTGTACAGATGAGATACAATGGTTTTGTCTGTTCTATAAGCATTATGTTTGACAGGCACCTATTTTATCATAAGATTAGTGAACATAGTCGTAATTTAGGTAGCATACAATACTTACAATACTTACAGAATCTTATGAAAATCAGTTTTAAAGGATAGAAAAGGATTCTTTTCAATTTCTCGAATTGTTGACAATTGAAAATTACGAAAATCAGCAGAGATATTATGTTTATCAAGGATTCACTGAAAAAGTACGTAAGTATAGTTAATTATTACCGGCAAAATATTAACCTTATTAATGCTGTACTCACATCCTTTTGAGAGCCATTTCTTATATCAGTTCTGTTAATGACGTTTTTTCAAGAATAAAGAACTTGGGATCGTTTCTAAACAGATTATGATTAGTACATCAATTCGTTTTATTTTTTGGCATCCAAAAATGACAATACCTTAGGCAATAAATTATGTGTATCAAATTGCTTAGACTCGTCTATTACATACAAGTATAGCAGTACATATTAAATCCATGGTTTAAAAAAAAAAAAAATGAAAAATACAAACCTAATGTATTACCATCTCTTTCATCAGGCAAATCAGCAATGTGATCAACTCTATTTATTTTGATTCGGCCGAAATTGTTTTTCGGATTTACTTGATCGTTAGGAAGGAGTTCATCGATACGATTTCGAATCGCCTTTCCTGTTTTCTTGGTTAGTGCTTTATCAATATAGTTCTGGTAAAATGTGAAAGAATCTTAGGGCATGCAAAGCTCGGATACGATACAACACAGATATTTTTTGGCAAACCTTTCCTTGTCAAGAACAGAAGCAGGCGTTCACTTAAAATAATCTTCAATAGCTTGCTTATATCCACCATCTTTGTAGTTTTTGTAGATATTAACCAATTTTAAGGATCGCGCTAAGGACGGAATACCATCTTGAAACAGCCGTTTTCTTCGACGTGCAATTGAACCTTTTGAAAAACGCTATTGGCATAGGATTTGCGTCATTAATAAAAAATCACGTTCTTGTGAGGAAATCTGGGCCATCATTGAGTCTATTGAGTCTGAAGTTGGGTAAAAGTGAACACGTTCTACACATTCTATATAAGAGCACCCTCGGTAACGTGACTCGTAACTTTTTGCCCACGTGACAATTAGGTATAATAATATGGGACCTTTGCAATAGAAAGGGGGAAACTGCCGGGAAAAATTAATTTTACTTTTATATGCCAAATATGATTTTTA